AAACGTTTAACATATCTGAGCCTTAGTTTCTTCATCTGTAAGATGGGGATAAAAATATTTACCTTGGAAAATTATATAAACACTAGTGATAATAAGTAAGTAAGTAACCCACAAGACCCAATGTCTAGATGGAGTTCAGGCCAAGCTACTTTTGTACATGAGAAATCTCAGAACTAAAACATGTCACTCAACTGTTCAAGATCCCATTTGAAAGTTTATAGATAGGTTGGTTTTAACCAATTTCTGGCACTGACACTGTATTTAAAGCTTGACATCCATAACAAATTTAACATCCTCATTCTAAAATGTGTTTTTATAAAAACACACTGGAAATCTGGGCTATTCATGTAAAATGTGGTTTCATTCATTTCTCTATATTGTATAAAAGTGAGCAGCCTCGCCTCCAAATCCTATTTACTACTATGGAAAGGGGGGAAAAAAAGAATTTTCATTAAAATCGAACAACGGGGCTATGAAAGAAGGAGGATTATAGCAAAATGCCCTTGACCGTCTCTCAAAAACAGAACCAGGCCCACATTTGAGGAATGCCAAGTGATTCTCATTAAAGTAATGAGAATATTTTCAGTGACATGTGTCTGACCGACTTTAATTTAGTTGGCAGGACTCAAGGCAGCCAGAGACCCAAAAATAACACACAGCCAACAGTTCCTACTCAAACACACCTAACAGACGTAGTTCACACTGTTTCAAGGATGCCCCACCCTAGACAGACAGGGTGTAAGGTCAAATGCAAATTGTTGTGGCATTAAACACACAGTCCTGTGACAACACTGACAGGTCAAATTTAATAGCCTGAGTTGCTCGGGCTCCCCCTTCATAAAATTCGCTCTCACTGGTCAGGGTGAGCCGACAGATTTGCGGGATCCCAACCCCTGCCCCACCCAACAAGCTGAAGTTATTTTTAACTTACAACTACTGCTGATAAGTATTAAAAAAAAAAAATACCCTTTCAGAAAGAGAAACTATGAACAAACAAAATACCAATGCATTTTAGTGAGAAATAGTCTGTCTCTCAGCCAAAACTATAAACGAATGTCATTTTGGGGTAGAAAAAAAACAGAGTACTTTGTATTTATCACGTTTTCCATCATTTCTACAAACAAATTCTCTAAACAGCCTTGTGGGGCAGTGGGCAGGCTGAAATTATGTTGAGCTTACCTTTGGAAATGTAGTCTCCTGAACAGAATAAGGCCCATTTCCATAGGTCAAGTGCAGTTAGTAGTAACGTATAATAGGCAAGCTATCATTTCGTTGGATAATTTACTCCAACATAAGCTATTTTTCCCACATCTGGAAATTAGCCAAGTGAGCTATGCTCCATGCCCTCAAAACTTAAAATTCGGTGGGTAGACGTGAACATAAGCAAGTCAAAGTTGGAGGAATATTCATGATCATTGCCTAAAGGTAAGAATATTCATTATCATTGCTGCTGGCCCCTTGATAGGCACTTTTATATATATTATTTCAATAAATCCTCCCAACACCCTTTGAGGTGGACACTCTCATTATTCCCATTTCACAAATGAGGAAACTGTGACACAGAGAGGTTAAGTAACTTGTCCAAGGTCACACAGCTATTTAAGTGGAGAACTATGATGTGAGCCCAACCTGGGAGCAGATAGGGTTGGAGAGAGACCTGGATACCAGCTTGAGTTTCACCACATACTGGCTGCCTGACCTTCAACAGGCTACCTAAATTTTCAGAGCCTCAGCTTCCTAGTCTACAAAATAGGGCATAACGATACCCAGCTTATGGGTTTTTGTGAGAAGTATGAAACAGGATTACATTTGCAAAGTGCCTGACACAGGGTCTCTAGCACCGCTAGCATCTGCCATGAGGGGAACAAACCTTTAAACACTCAAAACTTTTTTTACCTAAGATGCTACCTTTTAACCTTCTATGTGTCTCACCAACTGGAAAGGAGGACTCAGCCTCGCAGGGTAGGACTTGGGGCTGCCCACCCTTCAGCCTCCCTCCCCTAAGGAGTCCTGAGGAGTCATAAGATGTCGACAGATGAAGACATGGGAATCACAGCGTCCCAGAGTAGTTCAACCACATTTTTGGGGTTATTTATTGGTTGCGAGTCACATAGCAAGAGCTGTCACAGGCACCACGTGACTTAAGCACTGAGACACAGCCCTACCCACAAGGAGATTGTCAGGCCACAGTGGAGAAGCACACACATTTTAAAAAAATCAAATACCCAGCATATCATGTGGACAGTCTGTTGCATGAAGCTGTTGGGAGAGGCAGGGGGTCAGTTTCCAGGCTAAGAGACTCCCCATCGTGGTGCTCACATGGTGTGTCCTGCTCCAACCATAAGGCCACGCTGGTCCTCCACAGTCTGTGCCTTGTGAAATTCTTAGAGCATCCTTCTGCCTCTCGATCTTCAGTCCAAAGCGAAGACACTGACACTTTGCCTTTGGGGTTCTCAAGGCTCAGTCATGATAAGGCCTCCACTCACAGAGACTTTGCAAGTCAGGCCAGGAGCTGATAGGAAGGTATTCTACACATGGCCTAGCACATTCTTTATCCTGAGGGGCTCAGCATGCCAAGGCTTCCCAGCAGAAACCATGCGTTTGAAGAAGTGTCAAGTCAGATTTTTCGGGGTGGAGGAAATCTACAGCAGTCACTGACACTTCAGAAGAAGGCTGGGTTAAGAGAGGAGAGCCACACTTTTTTTTTTTTTTTTAAAGAGGATAGAACTGAGGGACCTTTTAAAGAGGATAGAACTGAGGCTTCCTGAGATTAGTTCTTAGCCAAGGGGTGGGGGAGGGGGAGTGATTTCCTACTTATGCTTGAATTTTAAAAGTTAAAAAAACTTTGACAAATTTTCCGGCACTCAACTCTTCATAGCTACTGGCTATGTAACAAAAGACCACAGCAGTCTCAGTGGCATTAATAAACACTGATTTTTTTTCCTAAAGTAGCTGTGGGGCAACTGGGGTGTCAGCTCCATATGTCCTATCCTGGAACCAAGATTGGAGCAATGGCTACCCATGGTATATTCATGCCATGGCATTCGCAGAGACACAAGAGGGCAAGACCAACGAGACAAGCACACACACACATCCTCTGCTCACAACACGTCCACCAGCCCCCCACTGACCAAAGCAAGTCATGTGGTCAAGCCCAATATCAAGAATCAGAGAAGTTTAAGGGCGGCTGGGTGGCTCAGTCAGTTAAGTATCTGCCTTCGGCTCTCAGGTCATGATCCCAGGGTCCCGGGATGAAGCCCCGCATTGGGGTCCCTGCTCAGCAGGAGAGTCTGCTTCTCCCTCTCTGCTCCTCCCCCTGCTTGTGAGCTCTCTCAAATAAATAAATAATCGTCTTAAAAAAATCAGAGAAGTACAGATCGCTAGGAGGCCATGGGTCATGTGTGTAACATTACCAAAGAGGAGTAAAGAGCTATTACCACCAATCCCATTTACAACACTCACTAAATAATCCTGAAAGGGAAGCATTAAGGCTCTATCTTTCTTCTGAAGCTCAAAAAAACTGAGCCTCCAGATTTTAAGTCATTCATCCAGGTGAGATAAGAGTATGATGTTCTAGCAGACTGAGAACTCAAATCTCGCCTTCTGTGGTATCTAGAGTGATGTAGCTTGCCAACATGTAACTAACAGGCATCCGTAATAATCACATCCCTTAATGATGCTCCCTTGCAGAAAGCAGTTCTCTCCAACAAAGGCCAGACCCAACATTGTCCCATCTGTTAGCCTGATCATAGAGTTTATCATTTGTTTAGGACCTTCTGCAGTGTTTTTACAAGCTTGACTATCACCACACTAATAAATTATTTATGGTGGGAAACCTGAATCAAAAGACTCTGGCTACTTGAAAATAGACTTTATGAAAACATCTCTTCCCCCCTCCCAACATGCACCCTCCCAGGGCACGCACAATTTCTAAGCCTGAAAGTTTGCACAGAGTCTGTGGAACAGAAGACGCTTGCAGATGGCTGCGAGGAAGGAATATGGAGAAATTCTTGAGCATGCGATTTTAACCTGAAGCGACTGCTTTGTGCAATTTAATCGCTCAATAGATCAGACTGTGAAGCATCACAGCTAGAAGTCAGGAAGGGCACGAAGCTATCCTGGTGCAGCCTCCCACGGCCTCCCATTCATCTACACACACAACAAATAGCAATGGAAGGTCTAGTTTTGACCTGGCAAGGTGCTGGGCCGCCCGCTGAACAAGACCGACCAGCTCTCAAGGGGTTTACATTCTGCAGAGACGGATGGAGAGGGACGGATTGTTACAAACAAAAAGTAAAACTGAACAGGCTAACTTCAGACTGTACTGAGGGCTGTGAAGCAGCTAGCCATCCTGGGGAAGTCACTGGCTTAACTCATCTATGCGGCCCTCTGTGCCCTCATCTGGAAAACCGCGTAGCTCCCCCACTGGCCGCCTGCCCCAGTTTAAGACGATTAGGTTAAGGAGCTAGTCTGTGAGGGTCTGGGCACCTGCGCCCGGGCAGGGCCTGCTCGCCGCACTTCTTTAGTCCCCGTCGGTCGGGCGAAGGGGCTTTCTGCGTCCCTCTCTCTGAACGCTCACCGGAGCCAAAACAAACTCCTGGCCTGGTCGCTCCCTGAGAGACATTAACAGCCCCGAGGTTGCCGCGCCGCGGGAAGAAGGGGAGGGTGCAGAGGTTCCTCCAAACAAAAGCTCAGCCCCCGGCGCCTCGAACGTGCTCGCGACGGCGCGGTGGGCGGCCCGGCGCCCCCGACGTGGGCGCTGCGCGCTCAGGGCGCCGAGAGTAGGGTGGGGGACTGTCCCTGCTCTCCACTCCCACCCCGCGGGCCTAAGATGCCGCCTGGCCTCCCGGTCCTTCTCCTTCCTTTGCCACCCTCGGACCCGGGCTGGCAGCGGACCCGCTAACGACAGTTTGGGGGCTGGGTGGGGTAGGGGCTACGTCCCCTTCCCCCTGACCGGGGGAGGGGGGGGTGTGGGAGGGGAGTTGCCGCTTCCGCCCCAGAGCTGGGTTGAGGCCAGGAGGCTGTCGTCCCCCTCCCCCAGCCCTGTGTCCAGCCGCGCCGTGCTGTCTCCCCCACCCGCCACCCCACCCCGTTCCCTAAGGGCTGTTGTGATTGCGGGACTCGATGTGACTGCTCGGGGCTGGGGGGAGGGGGTAACCCCTCCTCCCCACCCCCGCCCAGGAGTGACCCAGACGCCGCGCCGACCTCCTTCCTGCACCTCGCCAGCCCCGCAGCCGCGGGAGGACGGGGCGCGGCTTCCCGAGAGCCGGGCTCGGCTCGCCCGGCGGCGGCAGCTGCTGCGCCCTGGGGGCGGGGAGCGGGCGCTGGGGGGCCTGGAGCGGAGCGGCGGCGGGAGCCCCGGCCTGGCAGCGCGGCTTCAAGTTTCCACCGGCGCGTGGTTGTGCAACCGCCAGAGGAGCGGGAGCCGCGGGCGCCTCGGAAAACAAGCCGAGCCCATAAACAAAGCCACGTGGGCTCGGGCGGGGGGGCCGGGCCAGGAGCAGGCGGCTCTTCCGGCAACAAAGGGCCGGAGCCAGCGGCCCGGGATAAATACTGCGGCCGCGCTGGCCGCGCAGCACTCCCGCCCGCCCCGCGCGCCCTGCGACCCTCCCCAGCGCCGCGCCCTCTGCGAGCACAGGACCCGGCTCCGCAGCCCCGAGCCCTCCACCCGCTTCCCTGCAGCCGCGCCCTCGCCGGCCCCGGCCCCCGGAGCACCCGCCTGGGGCGACAGTTCCCCGAGGCCGTCCAGCCGGTACGGTCCATCAGTCCGCCGAGTCCGTCGCGTCGTCCCCGGTGCCATGCCATTCCTCGGGCAGGACTGGCGGTCCCCCGGGCAGAGCTGGGTGAAGACGGCCGACGGCTGGAAGCGCTTCCTGGATGAGAAGAGCGGCAGCTTCGTGAGCGACCTCAGCAGGTGAGTGGATCCGCCACCACCTTCCAGCCCAGCGGAACAGACCTGGGCTGATTTGGGGGTCGCGAGGCGGGTGAATGGTGGGGCAGGCCGGACTGGGACAGAGTGAGGAGGGAGCCCCGGGCCGGGAGGTGGGGTGGAGGGTGGAATGGGCGGGGGTTGGGGGGAGTCGACCCCTTTCTGAAGAGGTCGCCAGAGCACGGGATTTGGGGAATTTGGTTTCTCTTGTTCAAGGTCAGCGTCTCCGAGTGGGCACAACTCTTTACAGAACCCCGGTCCCTCTGAGAATCTGACGACAATCGCGGATTTTGTCCGCAAACGTTCAAACTTAAGCACACAACTTCAGGGGACCCCTGTCTTAAGGACACCAGCCGCGGGGGCGCGGGCGAGTGGGCTGCGCACCTTTCACCGCTGGGGCGGTGGGGCTTGGGGCACCCAAGCGAGGTGGGCACAAGTCGGGTGACGCGATGGGACCTGGGACCAGCGCCCCCAGGCTCTTCCCACGCACAGGCGACCGCAGAGTGGGCAGGGAGGATGAGTAACCAGGAGGGGCGGCCAGATGGTCCCTGGGGCACCGGCGCTTGCGGGGCGACGTGAGGAACCGGGGTAAAGACTTGCGGCTGCAGAGCTGCGGAGGAGGGAAGGGAGGCGGGACTGAAACCCACAAGACTTCTGCTTCTGAGAGGACGAAGCATTTGCACCTGTTTCCTCGGTGGCCCTTTCGGTCAGTTTCCTGGGGGAATAATTTCAAGTGACGGCTATCCACTGCAGAAAGCCCACCTGAGCTCTGTCAGTCTGGTGGAAAAGCCGAGTTACCCTCGATCGCGTGCTCTGCTTGGTTAATAACGCAGGAATGCTGTCTAATAAGTTAAGTGGTCTGGAATCTGTCAGTCCCGGATCTGAACAGTTGACTTCCAGATCCCCGCCATTTGGCACAGGTGAGGAGGGCAAAGAAAGTGGGTCCCCAGGGGACCAGTGCAGCCTAGCCATCCTTGGGTGCCTTTTCTCTCAGCCTTTGGTTGAAACCACTGGCACCAGAGCCCTTAAATTGGTTTTGGTGGAGGGGCGCCTGGGTGGCTCAGTGGGTTAAGCCGCTGCCTTCGGCTCAGGTCATGATCTCAGGGTCCTGGGATCGAGTCCCGCATCGGGCTCTCTGCTCAGCGGGGAGCCTGCTTCCCTCTCTCTCTCTGCCTGCCTCTCTGTCTACTTGTGATCTCTGTCTGTCAAATCAATAAATAAAAATCTTTAAAAAAAAAAAAAAATTTAAAAAAATTGGTTTTGGTGGAGAGTTCTGTATCTGGACGGGGTTCCCATTTACCGAGATTTACCAATGATTTTTTTTTTTTTCCTGAGCCCTTGGCACTCAATTTTAAGAAAACTATCAAGAAAGTATGGTTATTTTGATAGCTGGACCTCCAGACTGTCCCCCAACCCCACCCCAGGCCAAAGTGTCTGTGATTTGTGAAATGTTAAAACTCCTTAGTCTTCAATGAAAAAACAGAAAACCAGAAAGCATTTAATCCTGGGGGTCTTTCAGGAGAGATGAGAGCGTGTGTAACTCTTATGTTAAAGACACTTTGAGGCAGGTCCTGTGGAATTTGGGGAGCAAATAAGAAATCTTACTTATGGAAAATCAGATAATTTACTTAGAGCAAAATAAAAAGACCAATGGCTGTCACTGGACTCTTCCCTTTTAGGGATGCAAGTCACCAATGATGCCTAAATCATTCTCCCTAGACTAAAAGGTTCCTTCCTCCTCTTCCTAAGGAATGATCTGATAGTTCAGTACTTTATTTCTGTACAGCAGTTCTCAGTCTTTGTTGGGGGGGGTGGTGCATCAATGATCTGCTGAATGGTGTCCCCGTGGCTCCCCTTCTTGTAACTGTAGGTTGCAGACCCCTAGGCTCATTCAGCAGGAGAGGATTCAAACTCTAGAGCCTCTGGTTCCTATAAATAGTCACACTTTATCTGCTCCAGGAGATAAACTGCTGTCAATCCCCTTAGAAGCAAATAGTGTGCCTCTCTCAAGGTAGTATGGGAGACCTGAAGTTGGTTTCAACTTACCCAAGTTTAACTGAGGCTGGGATCAGGTAGCTTCACACCCCTCTGTCCCCTTCCTGAGCCTCCTTTCTTTCCTCCCATTGCCTGCCCTCTGAGCCAGAACTGTGGCACCACTGAAGTTATCACAAATGGTGATCAATACACAGGTCCCGACCCTCTGAGCTCTTAGATGAGTCAGAGTTTAGGAATCATTGGGTAGCTCCTAGCAAAGCAGCCGCTGTTTGTTTGTGGAGTACTTTTTTTTTCCTTCACCAATTGTAAACAATCCCTTCCCTACTTAGCCTGAGACGTCTGCCAACTTGTTAAAAGCAGTTGGCCTTCTGAGACCTAAGTTTGTAGTCTCAAATATCCCCACTGTTTTTAGCCTTGGTGATGTTTCTCTGTGATGTAAGGTTTGGGCTGAACGCCTGCCTACACAGGTGAAGTTGAATGCCTCTCCTGTTAGAAAACAAAAGGCAGACCCTTTCGAAAGGGGGAGGAACGGGTAATAAAACAGAGAACTACAGAGGCAGGGTACACTTCTCTAGTTCCAAGTAACCATCCCGTGAGCTGCCTGAAGGAGAGTCAGGAACAAAGCGCGCCTTTGGTGTGTTCTGACCTGGGGATAAAGCACACCGTGTCTGCACCACACACCTTCTCTGACTCTGCTGGCCGTTGTCTCTGTGTTCCAAGCCCCGTCCCTCTCCAACAGCACAACAGTACTAAGTCCATGACAGCTAGGAGCCCCTTCTCACCAACAACCCCCTTGCTTCCCCCATCCCCAGGAGGAGTCAACTCAGTGGTGTGTGAGAGCTTCAGGCCACACTTCTCCAAGTCTCCAGTTCTGCACTAAAAACTCCCGTGTTGCTTTCCAGGATAGCTGAGGCTGAACCAGGAAGCAGGAAGTTTACCTTGGTACCCTGGATGAGTAGTGCAGGAGATAAAAATAATAGTTCAGATTTTTATGAGGGCTTACTGTGTGCCGGGAAGCCACTGGTCTGTGAGCTTCGTATATTAAGCTGTTTGTTTTACCAGAACAATCTGGCTGCTAGCCAAGGGAGTTTGACCATTTGGGTATGTAGGGGAGCAAATTAGCATAGAAATCTCACAGGCCTTACTCTACAACTAAGCCCTTTGGGGCAGGCACAGCTTTCTTAGATGGTCTGTTAATGCAAACAAAATGAGAAATAGGCCTCTTTGTTCCCTTTCCTCCCTTTTTATCTCCTCTGCCCAAATGGTCTTAATTTTGAAATCTTTCCACCTTTTCTAAAGTTGTTTTTCGGTATCTTGGTTATGTGCCTGTTGACAGTATAGGGCTGGGAGAGGTCTTTTTTTCTTATTCTAGGCCTGTGTCTATAAAAATCAAGATTAGTAAAAACCGACCACAAAATAGCAACTTTAGTGGATATTATTGAATTTAATGAAGAAAGTAGACTCTTTAAATAGTTTTGCTTAAAAAAAAAAAAATTAAATGTCATGGTTCCTAAATGGTGGTGGCTTTTCTTGTTAAAATTTTCAGTTGTAATTTTCCATTGGCTTTGCATTTCCTTGAAATGGATGAAATTGAACTTTCAAAATAGCCTCTAACTGAATAAATTATTGCTTGACAGAAAACCTGTAAGCAGGCAACACAAATGAATCTCCTAGCCCTTCCTTCTAGGACCTACCTCTGGAGTCCAAAACCTAAAAACTAAGAGAAAAGTGCAGGCTTTGTCTTTGGTTGAAGTTTATCTACATACAACAGTGGGAGAGCATCCTCAATGATGTCAAATTCTTCTTAAACTTAACTTTGAAAATGAGTCACTTGGGCTTAAAGCAGATTATTGTCATTTCAATAAGGAAGGCGGGTGCTCAAATTCCTTTGAGTAATGTTCTCAATTAGAAGAGAGTAAGAGAAACTATAAATATTTAAAATTTCTGGAGAATGGCCACAGTCTATGGTCCAGGCTCTGAAAACTTTCTGCTAAATCTCAAATGTGTGATTAAGAGAATAAGGCTGATTTATTTTATGGTTCTCTACAGGTGGAATTTAGGCTCCCAGTTTTTGTTCAGAGTGCAGAAGTATGTTTTCTTTAAAAATAAGCCTTCATGTGGCCTTTTTACACACAAAAGGCTCTCCCTTTGCTTTCTAAAGCTGTTCTCAGCTTTGGTATATCCTGGACCAGTCAAGTGACCTTCCCTCTGTTTCCCTTCTTCTCAACTTTGATAGAAATTTCTTGTTGGCTTTAATGACTCACTGTGAAACCTAAAAATATCCTCTTTCGCCTGAATGAAAAGAAGAAGGCTGTAGCTCATAGGAAACCCAGTAAATGGTATTAAACATGACCTTTATAGGGCAGATTAACAAATGATTATTTGGCTCAGGTCATGATCTCAGGGTCCTGGGATCAAGCCCCTCATTGGGCTCTCTACTCAGCAGGGAGTCTTCTCCCCCCCACCCCCAACCTCTGCCTGCCTCTCTGCCTACTTGTGATGTCTGTCTGTCAAATAAACAAATAAAATCTTTTTTAAAAAAATGATTATCCATCAAGCTCCTCCCCATGGGCCCAGAATATTGTTGGTGATATCCCATGTAAGCATTTATGTAGCAAGATACTTACAGAAGTGCTACCTGAGAGATTGATTTCAGCGACAGGATACTGGAAATTAGTTTAAACCCTCTTTTCTCTTTTACTATTTCTATAACGTCCGTGGAATGGAGAAGTGCAGGGGTGCCTCCTTTTACCCAATAGCCATATGTCAGAAGATTTAAAGCAAATCCCCTTTTAAATTCAGCAGAGGGACTCTGAAAATTAAAGGACTCTGATATATTGGTGATAGAAGAAAAAGGCCCTAATTTATGTTTACCAGTGGGCATTAGAAATCCTGCCTCTCGCATCCATACCCATGGGGTTTGGAAGAGCTACTCACTATTCCTCAGTATTTCTCTGGCATCCCTTCTGCAGAAACTCTTCAGAGACGCACTGCAAAGTTACATGGTTGTACTAGCCTAGAACTCAGCCTCCTGATGGAAATATGCACCTGACCCCAGGGGAACTTGTGTGTCCTTCAGTGACCTGTGATGGGGACAGTTCTGTCTTTTCAGCCCTTAGAAACTTAGGAGCTGTGAATTCAGCTGGTTTCATTTAGGACCCAAGGTCTTCACCCCATAGCATGATGCCTAATGTTAGTCACATTAGCACTGTATACAAAACATCGCCTAGAAATGGAGGGTGTAAGTCCGATTTTGGCAAATGTGATCATGTTTCAGAGGCATGACAGAAGCATGCTCGTTAAAAGCCGCTTGGGCACACTTTCAATGGGTGGATTGTATGGTATGCGAATTATATCTCCATAAAGCTGTTTTTTTAGAAAGCCGCTTAGGGTGGGTGCTTTTGCAAAATGAAGGCATTGTGGACTACAGTGATACCAGTAATCCTCCCTCGCCCTCCCCCCCGCTGCAGTCATCATTTTTGCTTAAAGTAATATTGTAGTGCCCGGCATTGCCCTTGGTTAAAGGGTACAGGGCTGTGTGTCGGACACAATGGCAGGCACTGTTGGAAATTCAAAAGACGCAGAAGCCCCCATCCCTGCCTTCACAGAGACGCGAGAATATTTCACCCCCAAAGAGGGAGGTCTGTGCCTGCACAGAGTTCTTTTAATGGGGGTTTATTGTTTTGTTGGAGAAGATGTATGTTTGTGTTTTATAACCCAGCGAGTTATTTATAGAAACAGTGCTTACTAGAGGATCGCTATCCCAGCTCATCCCCTCCTCTGTCATTCCTAGTTACTGCAACAAGGAAGTCTACAACAAGGAGAATCTTTTCAACAGCCTGAACTATGATGTTGCAGCCAAGAAGAGAAAGAAGGACATGCTGAATAGCAAAACCAAAACTCAGTGTAAGCCATTTGCTTTGAACTTGGAAGAAGGCTGTTTGAAGATCGCTAAGATGGGTTCTTTGTTGGGGAGAAAGAAAATCAGACCCCAAATGTGAGACATCTGCTTTAATGTTGACGGTGACATTGACAGAGGTCCTTGGGATCTCTGCAGTCAGAAAGCCGGCTGTGCATGTTACAAGCAAGATTGTGTTCCTTATAGACTTGTTTATAAGTCAGCGGGTAGTCGTGGTGTTTTTCTCCTGCTGGTCACTTACATCCGACGTAGTTAATTTAGTTACGATACAGGGATAGGGCCAGCTGAATCCGTTCCAGCATGTGCTTTTATTTGACACTGAGCTTTGAGGCTTTGGATATAGATCTGTTTCTCCCTCTTTCCTTGCATAAATCCCATTACGCTTCAAAATGCCGTACATAAGAGTATAAAGTTCTATTAATAAGCGGGAATTACAGCTCTTCGGTTTAAGCCACCTGGACAACATGATTTCCTCATGTTATCTGCTTTATTTCCACTTTTTATGGCCTTGCCTAAGCTGTAGGCTTGGCATTTAAAACAAACTTGTCTTTGGATATTCAGTTTTGTTTTTTTTTTTCCCCAATTTGGAGCTTTGGTCCTCTAAGTCCGATGATCCAAGATGTACAGTGCTTTAGACCAAGTGGGCTGTAACACCAGTACACGTCTGCTGCAGAAATCGGGCATTTGCATCTCTTAGATTGTCCGTAGAGTCTGTCTTTTTTGTCAAAATGTTTGACACATTGGATATGTGAAAAAGAAACAGGTTTAAAATTTGGGGCATGCTGCAAATTTTAAAGCTGGGGGGGTTTGTTTTTAATTTTTTTTAAGTTTTTATTTATTTATTTATTTATTGCCTCTATAGATTTCCACCAAGAAAAATGGATCTATGTTCACAAAGGAAGTACTAAAGAGGTGAGCATCCGTCCGTTTGTTAAAGAGTATGCGTGGCTTTCGGCCTCTCCCAACAGGGTAGAGAGGGGAAGCTGGGCAAGAATATTACTTCAGGTCACGGCCGTTGTCCTGGGTGCCGGTGATGATGGCTGGCAGCCCGCCACCTAGCCGACCATCAGAGTTTAGGTCTCCAGAGAGAGTGAGAAGCAAAAGTCGCTAAGTAGACTCCCTAATCACTCGGTGAGATTATGTAAAATGCTTTATAAAGATTAATATACCCATCTCAAATGTATTGTTATAAAGCCCTGGCCTTTCCCCCAGAAAAGTGCCTCTCTTTTGTTCTGAGATCTTTTCGGACTCCAACTTTGTTAAGGTTTAGCCCTGGAAGGGCCCATTGCCAAACACGGCAGAAGTTTTTAACAAGAGTGTGCAGGGGAGAAGACACAGTAAATAAGTACATTCGCATGACACTTTATAAAACCCTCTTATGTGTATTTTCTCTCTGCACGGTCATCTGCTCCAATACCTAGGATACAACACAGTCTGGTAGAATGATAGAATCTCTCTGTGTCAGGGACCTTGGTGAAATCTACATCCCTGCCTGTTTGAGGCCCTGCTGGGGGTGGTGGGGGAAGCATGGACCTACCCATGACCACCCAGATACTGGGAGCAAAGCTGGGACGGAGTCAGGGCTCTCTGCTCCCAGTTCCTTGTGCGTTCACAGGTAAAAGAGCAAAACTTCCTTTTGCTTCCTCATGAAGCCTTAAAAATGCTTGTGATGATCACAATGAGAAAAGCACTAAAGATCCGAGGCAGGGTAGCAGGCAGGCTGACCCTGGGAAGTGTAGTTCCCCTCCCAGGAGATGTTACAGTGACCCGCTAGCATCAGGTCACCCATCATACATCCAACTCCCAACCTTCCCTTGATAAGCAACTACTGATGATCTCCCCATTCAAGTCTGTGCAAGGGCTCAAATGGTACAAATCTTGAAGAGGGGTGTGTAACGCATGAGTCACTGGCTAAAGCAGCTGCTGGCTATACCCCACATCGCTGTGGCTTGCAGGGGATTCCCAGAAAGAGCTGCTCATGGCACAGGAAAGCCACAGGTGGCCATAGGTTACCTAAGACCAGCATCCAGCCTATCAGTAGAGTCCGGGGGGGGACTGTTCTGGAGAATGACCTCTGCACCCCCTGTTTTCACGTCCAGCGCCATGGATATTGCACTTTGGGAGAAGCTTTCAACAGGCTGGACTTCTCGACAGCCATTCTGGATTCCAGAAGGTTTAACTACGTCGTACGGGTAAGTCTCTGAAGGTTACAAGTGTCGGCTGAATTATCTTTTCGGGTTGTCTTGAGGTCGTTATCTGCCCCACCCCCTGCCCCTGCCCCAGCAAAATAGCTTCTTAGGACCCTGGGAATTTTGAGGAAAGCAGAAAACAAACTTGTCCACTCCCTTCTCTCCAGATGTACTTTAAGTCCTTGTGTGGGTCCCATTAGGGCATTCCTGAGATTGGCTGTGACAGACAGCAGTGGCCATAATGCTCATGGGAGCCACTCCCAGCCCCCACGGATAAATGGAGACACATTGCGGGCAGCAACAGGAGCCAGAGCAAATCCAGCAGAAAGCCACACCATGGCTTGTTTTAAAAACCTTCCTTCCTCGGGTCGTTCCCACTGTCCTCCTCCTTGTCCTGCTTGAGCGGACTCTAGGTGACCCCAAGGCAGTCGTGGTTTAGGCTACAAAACCAGATGAGTTCAAACACCCCAATGCTTCCTACCCATGACTCCCTTCCACCCCGTGGGATGACATTCAGTCTCGTGCTCACCAAAGCTTGAAACTACCTGTTTGGGTCACTTGCTTTCCATTTGAAACCATATGTTTGGGCGGGGGAGGGGTTAATGAGTTTTAGCAACATATTAGTGTTACTCCATTAATGAATGGAGTAAAGCAAATGAGTCTACCCATGCCCCTCAAGTCTGTGATTCTTTTTAACTGGTTCATTGTTGTTGCTTCCCCCGTTCTTTGGTCTCTTGTGCGTTTCTGTCCGTGGTTCAACCAGGGAGGTCGCGGCTCAGATGTTTTAGGCTCAGAAGCAGGAGAGAATATGCTCACAAGGGGTGTTGATGTGTTGGGTTTTCATTCTTTCTCCTGGGTTGTTGTGCTGCTCTGTGCCGGGTCACGGAGTCCGATGACAGCCACGGCTCAGCCCGAGTGATGACATCAAGCCCCCTTTGAGGCCCGGGTCATTCACCTGTCATCTGGGCAGATACAGGCCTGGCTGTCCCAAGCGACCTGATACGCAGGCCTCCTTGGAGGTCAGAAGCTCTGAGCTGAGCCTGTGACCACTTGAGCAGATCTGTCTGCTCTCAGCTGAGCCCTTACTGCTGTCCAAAAGGGATGAACATGAGAGACCTTCTGGATGAAATGTCCGTGTCATTCAGTGTGACTCTGCCACTCCAGGGAGATCACTGTGGCCTGCAACCTGGCCCAGGCTGGCTGGAGAGAGGCCCAGCAAGAGCTGGAAACTCTGTTACTAAGAATATGAATAGTTTCCATGTTCTAGATGTCAGGGGAGGACACCCAGTTCTGATGTCTTAATTACAAACGGATCAGCAAAAACGGTCCAGTTTTAGATGGTTCTCCTTCCTACCTGTTTTTCCTTTCCCAAGAAATAAAGCAAAGGGACAAGACTACAATAGCCAAAATCTATTTCCGCATAATTCCGTACATTCACCTTTATCCTTCCATGAACCCTACGAAGTGGGGGGACTTTGCTGACCCGTTTAAACAAACGGAAGTACTGCAAGGTAAAATGACCTGCCCAAGGTCACGGAGCTGTGTAAGCAACAAAATTGGAATTGGAAACCTAGTCCATCTTAGAGTCCACACTCTCCGCTGTACAGTGGGTCATCTGCAAGCAGAGATGGCAAAGTACAATGGTCTGAGGTCAAGCTATTTCAGGCCCTACTTTCTGCCTATTTCAGCCTCCCTAAGCCTCCTCTGCCCCTTCGGTAAGGATTTACAACCACCTCGCAGGGTGGCTGGCCACTCAGTAATGTATTTTCTATGGAAATACCCTGCAAACCAGAACCTGTTATTCAGGGTCTGCTACAATATTTATTACTACCTACTAACCGAAATTATTAATTCTCCCTAATATGCCTTTTCAGGCCAGCTGATAAATGTTTTTCTCCTAAAAAAAAAAAAGGAAATCTTGCACTTGATAAAGACCCAGGATAGAGAGCTTATATCTCGTAGTATCTACTTGTAAACTATGAGCACTTTTCTGTAAATAATCTTTAAGTCAGAGAAACTGCTACATGCTTTCGGAGTTGTCAGGTTCAGCGGTAGTGGAAAAATGTTTCTATTTTGGAAAGAGCCATCTTTTTTTCCCCTTCACTGTTCGAGTCCTCTATAATTTGAGAAATAATGTTATTTTCATAAAGAGCTTAAAACATTTTAATGATAGGCACTGCATTTTGAGGGTTTTCTACTAAGGAACTCTATGCACATCTCATATATTCTTCTTATCCTTAAACCAACTTTGCAGAGTAGCTTGCCATTATGTCCCCACCCCGTCCCCACTCGCCCCGCATCGGACTACTTCTACCTAACGGCTTCCTAATACAGTACTACAGTGACTCCTTAGTTCCAGTGAATGACTGAACCAGCTTCAAAAGCCTTAAGGAAAAAAAAAAAAAAAAAAAAATTTAAATTTCTTTAAAGCCAAGTACATTTTTAAAAAATGGGTTGTGTTTATGCTGGCTGTCACCTTCAGAAACAGATCATGCAGAGGAAATAAAAGAGATGGCTAACACCCCTATTGCAAGATTTCATAATTTTTATCAGTAAATATGAAAATTTTATGGAATTTCTTAAATCAAAAATTTTAACAAACTGGAAAGGTTCTCATACAGCATCTGTACCCTATTTCCATAGGCTTCAGGTTCTACTCACTGTCTTTACCCTCTTCCCTACACACGCGTGATGGCTTAAATACAATTTTAACTGTGGGTTTTTTTTGTTTTTGGTTTTTTTTTTTTAAGATTTTATTTATTTATTTGACAGACAGAGATCACAAGTAGGCAGAGAGGCAGGCAGAGAGAGGAGGAAGCAGTCTCCTTGCCGAGCAGAGAGCCCGATGCGGGGCTCGATACCAGGACCCTGGGATCATGACCTGAGCTGAAGGCAGAGGCTTTAACCCACTGAGCCACCCAGGCGCCCCTTAACTGTGGGTTTTAAAGAGGATTTAAACCCTTTAGAGGCAACGACTTACCCATTTATGAAAGGTCGTTTTAAAAAATTGGTTTCCACCGTGCCTCAAGGCCAACACAGCTTGGAGCTGGCGAGGATTCCAGGGGCTGGGCTGGTGGCGGGCTTGGCACTTGGTCACCACGAGGAGGGGAGAGCTGGTTAACGCAGTCAGGGCACAGCGCGGCTAGTGGGGAAAATAGGTCTCCAGTAAACCGGGAGAGGGTTTTGGAGACCACACACCGACTCCTGGCTCTCTGAAGTGAGCCTGCGATGGCCCACTGGTTCTCATTTGAACTGGCTGTCCATTAGAATCACCTGCAAAGCCTGTTGGTCTACAGACGCCCACCTCTAAAGCATCCGATTTAATGAGCTGAAGGTGGTGCCCACACATTGCTTCTTAAATTTATCCTTCAAGTGATCCCTGTGTTTTCAGGTTTGAGAACCAGCTCAAAAAACTCCCGGGAGCCCAAATGCCATAGTTTGCACACAGTGTTTTCAAACAAGAGACAGGGAGGCACAAAAGAGGAGAGGATTTTAATGCTTTAATGCCAGGATGACCTCTGAACTGGTCTCCCAGCTCGCTTGGGCGCTCTCTCTCTCTCTCTCTCTCTCTTTTGGCTCTTGATGCCCCCTCCAGACCAGCAAGGTCCTGGAGAACACTGAGGGCCACTTCCTGACTGGAATGAGCTGACCCACAGGTGTTAGCAGATCAGAAAAGGATAAGCAAACGTTTGTAACCCCCCTCTCTAGCCCTCTGCAGCAAAAACGAACATCCCAAGCGAAACCCAGGCACATTCTTACTTCTTTTCTGCATTACCACCCTAAGATCATTTGAATGTTTCCAGCAAGTTACTGCATTCCTACCACCCCTAAAAGTCTCTTCCAAAAACATGTTTTAGTTTAAGTTGACTGGCGGTTTGGCCAACAAAAGGCTGAAATATGGCACTGTGACTCAAATTCAAACCCAATGCCTTAAATTAAGGGCATGCTGTTGCCAACCCCCTGGTGGGTCGTGATGTGCCTGACAAGCCCGGCCCCTTCACTGGGTTCCTCGGCTGCAGTGACCTTGGTTTAATTTGGCACTGCCCTAGACCCGGCACCTTCTTTGGGTGGAGGGTGGCCCCTGCCACCTGGGTCTTAAAACCAGGGGTTCTTTTTCCCCTGGGACAGAGAAGCTGGGATAGAGGGAAAGAGGCCTGTCACCCAGACACAGCAAAGTCAAAAGAACAGAGCCATTGTGAGCCTACTTGAAAGTGACTTGCAGAAATGATTGGGAATTAACATTTGAGGGCCCAAAGTGGGGATTAGGCTGCCAGTGCCACCAGAGAAAGTCTGTGTCTTAGAACTCCTGGGTTTCCCATTATATGTTAATTTAAAAAATAAAAAAAGAATTCCTGGCTTTCCATCATAATAAGCATTCAGGCTTTGCATAGCAGATCCTGCAATGTCTCGGTACCCACAAAAGTGGGGAACACTCACAGGCATGGGGGTATGCCCAGACAAGTGGGGAGGACCTGTGAAAATGAGAGGCATGGCCAGGAGCCCAGCATAGTGGTATTTTGGACCATGGACCCCAAACAATGTCAGCATGGACTCCCCATATATGTGTGTTCATAAATTCATCTGTGAATCACCTACCTATTAAAGGTGCTAATAATGCTATCTGCCCCGTCATGTTACCCAGAGAATTAAAACTTGATTTAAGTCCTTTCCAACAGTGCCTGGTACATGGTAAGAACTTGAGGAGAATCTCTTGTTGCCATTAATATCCTCATCTGTCGGGTCCTGATTACAGGCATTAGAAAACACACACATAGAAAGACAATAGAAATAAGAGAGATTAAAGATGAAATGGAGAGCTTGATGTTTTATGGTTTTTCTGCCTGCTTTCCTCTCCCATCCCACTTTGGAGACCGCAGGATCAAATTTTTTTCTTAAGGACTCTGAATCTAAACCTTATCCCACTAGGGGCCCAGAAATAGATTTTATACAAAAATTCAGTCTAGTTTCTAGGATAAGTCAGGGACTTACTATGTGGGGGGTGGGAGGATATCATA